GAGTTTATAATAATTTATGCATATCAGGTGTAATATATATATGGATTAATGGATTTATACTAACCCATGTAGTTGCTTATTAAAAGGCAGAATCAAGAGATTTTCTAGCCTGGTAGTATTACAAGAACATGCAATTTTGTTTTTTTTTCATCACCACTACTGCTGCTCAGTAATTTGTTCAATTCAAGAATACAAGACAGACAAGCATCCAGGAAGAAATGCTATCGCAAGGCTGCCTTGCAAAATACTGCTGGTCTCCTGCAGATCACTTAAGCATGACCAGCAACTCAAAAGACTACACTAAGTCTGAAAAAGAGCAGCTTTCACAACATTAGAGAACTAACTTAGATGTCCAATACTCTTTTATTGCATGACAACTTGAATATTTCCTGAAGAATTATCACCACCTCAGAGGAAAATTAACTACTCTTATTCCTGCTTATTCTCCAGAAGTGCCACATACCTTCTCGTAGTACTGGATGTTTTTATCTGCCATCCCCATGAGTAGCTGCCTGAAGTCTTGTCTTTTGTTGTTCTGCCATCTCTCCATATCTGCTTTCAGGTCAGCATTGAAACACTCAACTCGGTCTTGACACTTCTCAACATCTGTGGGTACCTGCAGACAAAGAAATTAAGATGGAAGCTGTCATTGAAAGTACTTAACTGCTGCTTTATCTCACACCATACTGTGCAAACCTACAGAGGAAAGAGTAAGTTAGCAGGCCACTAGTTACCCTGAATAAACTCAGTCACAGGAGAAAAGCCCCAGTTCTGTATTAGTGAGGAGGCAGGATTGTTTCATTTGATGTCTGCTATATCAGGTGATGGGCAGCTGTGCTTGTCCATGACAATGCCTGATATGGAGGCAGACTGGACTATATGATCTTCAGAAGTCTCTTCCAACCCTGACCACTCTGTGACTCTAACATTTAGATTTGTCCAAAGACCTGGGTAACAGACCTCAGTGTATGTCTCTGCTGTAACAGCAGTGACCAGTTATGGCTGCAGAATAAAATTCCTAAGCATTTAGTTTCTAACTTCCACTTTTAACCTTACAGGCTGTAAGAACAAAACACAAGTGCAAAGCACCAATGATCATTCCTATGGATTGTCCCACTGGCCCTTGGGCTCAACAGTGGACATGTAATCACTGAAAAACAACAGGAGAAATCTTGAAGGACAGTCTATTGCAAATGTAGGTAGGCATTTAAATGGATCATGACATTAGTCACCAGCCCAAGGTAGATGCACTTTAGGTCAAGTAAGTTGCTGTTCTTTCCTTGTGTTTAAATTCATGCACAACTATAGGAAAAATTAACAAATATTTCTGCAAGCAGGAAAGCCATAAACACCTTTCTCTCCCTTCTCCTTGTGCTGCATGGTCAACTCAAACAGGAAGTCTGTAAGGACATGCAGACTAAGCCCATAACCTCAGCAGAGGAAAGCCCTGAGCTCTGGCACCAATGCAAGAAGTAAAACCTCTGCTCTGGAAGCTGTGAGTTGCACCAAGACAAAATGAAGAACATTTGCAGAAGTTTGTAGTGGCTTCTCTCATTCTTGATACTTTCAGGAAATTCCCTTTTTCTTTGAGGGGTGTGAAGGAAGGAAAAGGATAAGCAGACCGTGTAAGAAGCTTTTCATGGGTGACACTAAGGAAGTCTGAGGTGTGTTACTACAGTTTGGCAAGGCACATGACTTACACAGACACCTATCAACTCTGGTTCTTCTTCAGGATGTGGATTAGGGTTGATCACTGAAGCACTCCATTGACTAATACTCAAAGAAAGTCCCACATCTGTTCTCCAATAAAGCTGGAAGCACCTTCTTCATACTCAGGGGATTTGAGTACCCCTTTATTCACACAACTGGATTTACACTACAGGAGTGTGGGGGTTCAGTAGCCTCACACTTACCCCACCCCGTCAGAGCACTACACTTCTGGCCACAAAACCCACTCTGCCACAACTTCAGACATGAAGTTCTCTCCTAGGTTTCAGACAAGAACTATCATGCCAGTGGCTGGAAGGTTTAGAAGATGCAAGTATGGAAGGCAAGTATGTCTTGCATCCTATTTATAAACACTCTTGCTATCTTAACAGGAAAGACTAGGCTATCAAGACAGAGAGAGTCATGAAGTCTGGAAGCAAAACCACACAAGATTACCCAATCCAGTTAAGTTTGTTTCTAAGTATTCACCAGCTTCCTGCTTCTCCTGCTAAGATCTGAAACCACAATGAAGCTATGGAAAAAAGAAAAAAAAAAATAAATCTGTTATTTCTCACAGCTAGTTTTCCCGCATGTTAGGCTGAAAGGGCTGTGCAAGTTTTGACATACAAGGACAATCTGGTAGTCAGAAGATGGGTCATATATCCTCCAATTAAGAAACTGCAGCAATAATTCCAGCTAAGTCTCCACAGACATTATGAAAGCAGTGTCTGCACATGCATCGGTTCTCTTCAGGAGTATAAATAACCTTCCTTCCAAAACTGCAGCTTCCCAAAAGTTGCAGCTCAACTCAGTAGCTGAAACAAAATTTTATTCTAATTAACAGCCTTAAAGCACTTCATAACTAGTGCGAAGATAATTAAAAGAGAGGTTCTAACAAGAAATTTGGACATAGGTTGGAACACCAATTATTTAATAAGTCTATTTAAACTGAGAAGAGATGTACATGCAGGCAAGAACTGAGCATAAAATTGCATACTCAGCAGTCTGGTCACCTCATTGTAAAATATGAAGTTCTGCACCTACATCTATTCCTCTTCACATAGTTCTTGAAGAGACTAGATCCTAAGTATAACTCATATCTAGAACTTAACATGGTCAAGTGCAGATGGCATCACTGCATGTCCATTTTAGCATATCCACTCTCTTAAACCCTCTCTATGACATCATTACCAGGGAACAAATGGTCCTGAAGTACAATGAATCCAGCATTTATTAGGCAACTAATCTTTGTATATGGTATTTCTACCTTCCTAGTTCTCTGGAAACGTATAGTGTTACAAGCCTTTTTTTTTCTTCTTCTGTAAATACATATGGTCACCAACTACTTTACATTCTGCACCTTCATATTTACTGCTCCCACAGATCATCACACTGCAAAGCCTTCAGGCAGACAGAATAAATTAGGCCATCAAAAGTGGATTTAATCTCACCAAAAGGAAACAACGCCTGCATTTCACTATATTGGTTGCATTACTGCAAAACCAGCTCCAGCACAGGTCAGAAATGGGTAAGAAGTACTTCACCACTGTAGTTGTTAGAAACAAGAAGGCTGCAAACCCTGCACTGTTACGCTAGTGTTAAAACACACCACACACACTGCTCTTTTGATGTAAACTTCAGCATTCTGAGAAGTGTTTTCTGACAGACATTTGCAGTAGCCCTACAAGCCTCCTGCATTTACAGGCCACTGAGTTCTAAACCGATCCTCTCAATGTGAGAAGGATCTAATGTCACCAACAGAGCTTTGAGAAGCCAGTCTGATTATGTGAATGGCAAGTCCCAGAATGCCCTCCAGTGGCAGAGATCAGAAAGTAATGATAGGCCCTCATTTTGTGGTCCACAAGTAGGCCTTTCCCCCTTAATTCTTTTTTTAAACCTCGTTTCTTGTCAAATCAGTTAACATGCCAAAAGGAGCACAAATGCCTTTCACTGCATAATCCAGCTCATGATCCAGCTTGCTTTTAGTTTCCAGCAAGTCACAGCTGAGAGACCTTATGAGTCTAAGATGTGCTGGTAGTCACAGCTCTGAGCTACCAGCTCTCACAGACAGGGACATTCCTTCCCGGAGGAAAGGATCTGAAAAACACGAGCTAATATTTTACAAACATACAAGAAGCTCTATTAGTTTGTTCAACTTCATCTTGTAAAATAACACAAAGGACTTACATTAGAAAAAAGGTACAAGCAGTTGCCAAAAGATATGCTTATACTCTGAAGAGGAGATGTAAGTATTCAAAACATTCTTAGACAGCTATTTAAGTGCTGTGATTTACACAATCCCACTGAGTGGCAAAAGCCTTTTAGTAGGTGAGAGACTAGCAAAGTTCAGCAGTGCCACTGCATCAAGACCTTGATGGAGGTCAAACGTCTAAAAATTCAACTGGCTTGCTGAATATGCTATACATTGTTTCCTCTATCCTACATACACCTTGGTAGAATACCCGCTTATATAAAGCTACACTGAGGAATTAAGAGCTCATACTACACATCAGCCAGCAGTAGGGAGGCAACAGACAAAAATACAAGAGCACCACAAAATACCTAAAGACAGCACTAGTTGTAGAGTCTGTGACAGAAACAACACTGGAAAAATACCAGTTTCTATTTCTATTCCTATTTTCCAACCTTCTTCAGCTTCTTAGATTAAAAACATGTGAACCTCCTGTAAGATTATTGTACAGTAGTCCTAGTACTGCAAAGTCATCCATTAGTTATTAACACAAAGATGAAGGGGATCCAAAACACTGCAAGCATAGGAAGAGAACAAAGCCTGTTGTCGCTGCTGGTTGAAGTTGCCGAGAAGGTGCACTTTACTCCATGCAGAAAGCATGTGGCAGCACACGCAGCCAGTAGCAGCTTTGTTCTGCATGAAGCTCAGCCAAGACCTGCCACTCGGTGACACCTGTTGTGTCAGACGGGGCAAAACGCGGGACTCTTCTACAGTCAAAACACATGTCCTACAACACAGTTCAGCAGTGCCAGGGATAGGACCTTAACTCAGCTAGCTGATGTACTACCAAATCACCAGGGACCTATTTCCACTACTCCAGTCCCTATCACCGACCACTGGCTGTTGTTACACAAGGTTACACACGTCAGTCATCCTGCATTGAATGGTGGGAGGTCACTACAAGAGTTGCTACACATACTATGTCCACACCTAGGTCTTTATTTCATGCAAACTTGCCAACAACAAACTTCTGCCAGAAATTGCTTATACTGCAAAGAAACCATGAGACCCAGTCTAAGCAAGTTCTGTTTCTCCATTCTTCTCAGGAAGTAACACTAAGTGCAAGCTGGTTTTCTAGAGCAGGTTGAAGCTCTCACCTTTGGACGGTCTTCTTTTTTCAAGGCTACTGCTTCCAGTTTTGCTTCATACTCTGCTTGAACTTGGTCTCGCTTCTTCAACACATTCTATGGGCAAGAGAAAAGAGAGCTGTCAGCAGGACCCTCTTGTTGCTCCCCTCTCCAGACTGCAAGAAACTGCAAAGTGATACAGCTTAAGTGCTAATTCAGTCTGAAATCACACTTTCAGACTCACTTTGTGCTATTTTACAGTATTTTGGGAGTAACTTTGAAATACAAAAATCACTTGCTCTCCAGCACCTGGCAGGGTCAGACAAAATTCAGTGTCTGGGTATGTGCAAGATAGAAGCTGACAGGGAACCATGAATGTACCCTAAGTAAATTTGATTCATCAATCAACCTATTATTGATACTACAAGCATACTGTTAGCATAAACTAAAGCATCAAAGCTGTCAAGCATAAGTGCAAATCTTCTGGTGTCCTCAAGCCACCACCAAGACAACAGTATGGGCTAAGACACAAAGAAGGCCACTACAAAAGGTATTAGATCTCCCTTTTCATTTGCAAAGACTCCTCAAAGTCCTTCACAGCAAGCATTTACGTTATTGTGTTAAAAGAACAGTAAACTTTGCTTTTAGATCAGTTTGGGGGGTTTGGTTGACGGTTTAATTAAAAAAATAAAATTATGAAAGCACAACTTACATGAAAAGCCTTGAGCTTTTTTCACAAGCACTAAACATTTTATTGAATATTCTAGGAACAGAGAACAGAAGATGCTACCCTAATATTATACTATATCTGCAAGACAAGATCTCCACTAAGGTTATACTGCATCCTTGCAATTTATATGCAACCACATAAATTAATCTTTTTAAGAAAGATTAAAGTTAAAGAACAAGCAGTTCTGTGTCTGCAAAAATGGGCAACTTACTTCTTCAGTCTTCACAAGGAAACAACTAATATTTTTTTTTATAACTGCAAAGTTATAATTAAAAAAGCTGAGAGAGAAGTCACCAAAACTCACTGCTCAGGCACCTCAGCAGTGTAATCTTAACTTCTCCTGCAGCCAACTTGGCCAGTTCATGCTTCAAATCTTCCCTTCTGTCACCAAGAAGGAGTAACCCCATTAGGGCAAAAGGAGGTAAACTGGTCATTTTAACAGTTTTAGTCAAGGCTAATGAAGCACAATTAGTCATGTGCACTGCTGCCTAAAAACAAAGAGTAGTTCTCACAGCCCTGAGAGCCAGCCTAGCCAAAATCTGTTTCCTAATACAGATGGACAAACTCTGTATCTACTTATCACCTCCCTCCTAAACCAAGGGAAGATCACCAGTGCAGTTGCTCTAGACACAGGAGATGTTACAATCTATATTCTTACAAACCTCAGTCCATTATAAATGGGAATGGCACCCCATTCACAAAGTTGCTATTGCTTTTGGGGGAAAAGAGAGCAAATCTGAAAAATTCACCTCAACAGCTTAACTCCCCCTTCTGTCCCCAGTAGGAGGAAAGCAACCGCGTTCTATCATTTGTGTTTGCTTGAAAAACCTCAATATTCCCATTCGTTCTGGAATCTAAGCAACTATGTGGAATAGCCCTTAAGTGACTGAGGTTACCAACACAACAAAAGTCTGAGAAATATAACAGGTATTTCTACTTTGTATTGCCTCTTGAACCTAAGTCAACTGGAATTTCTTCTCAGAAAAAAAACCTGTCTCCAGCAATTGCACTCAGCCTTTAGGAGCCTGGAGTAAGCTAGATTTGTATCAGGAGTGATTAACAAGTATCAGCTGAGAAAGAACGGGGATCTTATTTCCTCTTAAGTGCTCAAGTCCACCCTCCGTGGACCATTACTGAATACAGCTTCAAGTATCCATTAATGGCTGACCTGTAAGTGATGAGAAAAATATTGCCTCCCCTACACCTTTGGGACAAGTGAAAGGGAAGTGTTTCCTTTGGTAGTTCCAAAGTCTCCTCTCAACATTAATGCTTCAGCAGCTTCTCCAAAAAGCTCTGCACCAAGTATTCCCAGACTTACCATAGACCATGCACTGGTTGGGTCTCAGAGAAAAAATAAAATATTTTTTAAAAATATTAAATATTGGAAGAAACCTACACCAGACCAAACTCACACACCACATTTTGGTTACCTGGGGACAGAACTAAACCACTGGTCCCTGTACAAGCAAGACACATCCTTCTCCATTTTGTATTTAATTGAAATATTTAACCTTGGTTTGTATCTCTGAAGGGGAATCAGAAGCTGCCACCAGCCTCCTTTCTCAAATTACAGTCTTTTGCCATTAGTACACCATGTGGCTTCTGACTACAACTAGAGCTCACAGAAGGACCCTAATTTACTGCACACCTTTAAAGAGACAGTTAGATATTTATGTGGTGCTTGCCCTAAACACACATGAAAAGTAATGTCCAAGCCCACAACTGGTGGTCATATCATCTGACAAGCCTTCTGACAGTGTGAAGCATACAGACTTAACATTTTAATACCACCACTGAATTATGTAAAGTGAAGTCCATCCTCTGCATTTGCCTCCCTGGGGAACATCTATGTTCCACAAAAAAAGCAGCACCACATGTTTGTGGACATGGGCCTCACTGCACCAGGGACATCATCTAGCCATCTTGTACATGGTGTGTGTTTTAGAAAAGGTCTCTCTTAGACATTCCCAGCACTCATTTTAACTCCAGCCCATAATGGCAGCCTCTCCCCACTTGGGCAAATGTTTCACACCAGCCCAGAAACAGGGCTTCCCTGTAGTCAGACTATTTGTGGCACTCAGAACTACTGGGCTTTGCCTCCGTACGTGCAGTTCCCTCAGGTACTGCAGTGCTCCTGCTGACACTATGGTGACCATTCATCTCTAAAACAGTGAAGATAACCTGGCAGTTCTTACTCCAAGAGACAGACACGCAGCTAGAGATTGCTCTAAAAATCCAGTTCCCATACCTACACCTGGGGTACAGTGTGCAACAGAGACAACTATAGAGGCTGCACTGAACTCCTAGTTCCTAAAGACTTACCTTCCATCAAGCACCCTGTCCAAAAGCTGTGCTCTGAAAGACCAAAACAGACTTTAATTTCACAAGTAGACCTCGCAGCAGCTGATGAATAGGACTGCACTGCTACTGAAGAGGACAGCCTTTTCAGCAAAAAGCTGCCTGCATGCCAAGAGCAGCATCCTTTACAGTTACTTGGTATTAAGGAGTCTAGGAAAACAGTTCTGCAGCTGCTTACTGCACAAACAGCAATAGACTGTTTTTTTCTAGTGTAAGAAAAGTGCACTTGGTTTGACCTGAGAGGTTTCAGCTTTAGTATTTGTGAGGAAAGAAGAATAGTAACAGTCTGCAATAGCTTTGCTAGTTAATAGTTTTTATTCTTAATTTTCAAAGCAGAATAATCTTTATTTGCTATTAACTGCTATTTTGCAAGTGTGGTTTCTAGATCCAACCAGTTCCGAAGCACCAAGACAATGAGTATGGTAGGGCCATTACCAGAGAATAACTGACAGGGAAAGTGAATCCTTCAGGGCACTATAAAGTCAAACCAATCATCTAAAAACTAAGCTAAAAAGCAAGGATTTCTTCAGCTGAAGAGGTTCTTCAGGCACTTAAACACCATTTACCACAGGGAGAGCAGCATTAAACACATGCAGCTAGACTACCTGCTGGCTGGGAGACTGCGCTTGGTGTGTTTGACATCACCTGAAAGAGATGTTTTAGAATGGGGCTCTCTCCACGCCAATAGGTTCTCTAGCTGCAAGCCTTTAATGTCACTCTCCCTGGGGTAAGTGGTGTTTAGTTGCCTGAAGTACCTCTTCAATTGAAGAAACCCTTATTTTTTTAGCTTAAAAAAACCCTTTCCTCTGCTACATTTGTGAAAAGCACCTCTTCACAACTCAGCTTGCCACCTCAGTTGCCATTTCCAGCAGGCTGTGGCATTTGTAGCAGTGAAAGCCAGAAGTTCTGGGCTAAAAGCTTTAACCACAAGCCTCATGCTCTATTTGTAAGCAGACACACATAGCCATTCCTACAGAATAAGGGTAGGTCTGAACATCCTGGGTCAAGACTTCCACCAGCTCAGGGTGCTGCACCAATACTTTGGTGCAAATAGTCCTGTAAAGAAAAGACACCTGGTTTATACTGGCGTCAGTATCATGACTACAAAAGCTAAGACAACACTCAGGGAATTACTGCAAAGCCTGCTGCAATGCCTCGGCCAGGCAAGACAGGAGCCATAAAATTCTCCATTTGAAGCTGGGAAAAGAAACCTGCAAAGTGTTCAGTTCTCAGTTTGAGAAATATAGAATGGTTAAGACAGGGATTAACTACCACATTCAGACTGCAGGTTTACAACAGGCTACTAGCTCTCTAAAGGAGTAAATACCTATAGCCTTGTAATGGCAGTTCCAAGCGGAAAGCCCTCAGGATGAGTTTGCCTGGTTACACCCTGTAGAGGGACTGCTAATACATACTGTAGCATGGGCATGTGGTCAAAAGCTCTAACAGCCCAAACTGGAGTCCTTGGTTTTCAGTGCAGTTAACCCAGTAACTGTTTCTGCCATGCAATGGGATTGACTACCAGTGCTCCTTAACTTCAAGGGAATAAGAACTGCATTGAAGTAGTTTTAATGACTTCTGCATAAGCATAAAATATCAAGGTCTTACAGAGATTAAGAGTCACAGAACAGTTACTTCATGTGCAGAACTTCACAACAGACACATCCTGGCTAGGGCATAAGGATGAGAAAGGGAGCAGTCTCTACCATTTGGACACACTGCTACAGACAAGTGACAGAAGCTGTTAATGATACATTTTCTCCAGGGCAAGACACTGACCCAGTAGTGAATTGCTGAGCCACAACCGACCTTCTAACAATTCAAAGAGAAGTTTCCAGGCAGTCACAGGATGTCTCCTATTGAGTTATAACCTTCCACCTGAATGAAGGAGCCACTCCTGGAGTTTCTCTGCACCCCAACAACTACCAGCCTCAGCTTAACCAAATAGCAGAGAGAGATAATGCTACCTATGCAGTACGCTGCTGCTAAAGGTGACTAGTTTTGTTTTGTTTGTGAAAACAATCCTCCTACTTAACGCATTTACTTGCCCACTTTTCCTACCACCAACCTCTCTCACTGTTAGAAAGAATCAACTCACTGATACACCATTCCATGCAACCATGACAGTGTCTTCTGCCACAAGGCTCTCTTTACCTTCATTGACTCCGAGTACAGTATATACTCCCTAAGCACAGGCAGGAAGTCTTCTGTCATGTCTTCACTGAGTTCTTCAAGAGCTGTGCAGCAGTTTCCAATACACGCAGACACACCTTCCAGTGGCTCTGACAGCTCAACCTCCAGGCCTCCCCAGGTTGAATAAACAGGTCCATATTCTCGTAGTTCCACCAAGTATTCTGCAAAAGGCAGACAGAAAAGTAGGTTAACAGAGTAACAGCAAGGCACAAGGTTTTCTCCACACTCACACCAAACAGGACAAACTATGCACCAAGGATAGCATACATTAACTCCTCCAGGAGTCAAGTCTTGTGCTGCATCAGCATCTTAATAGACAGAGCTCTATGGCTGCACAGGTGACAGGCTCAAGTTGCCTCCCACGACCATTCCTACAACCTTTTAAATATAAAAAACCCCTGCATCTATGCAGTAGTCAAAGCATTTTTTTTAAAGATGGGTAAAACTTGGCTCCACTAAGACAGGTCTGTAAAGGCTATCTTTGTTTAGGGATTCCATCTGTACTCCTCCAGATCTAAAGGTTTTTCCTCCTTCCAAAAGGCTTTCCAAAAATAACTGTAATAAGAAAGAAGGCTGGTATAACAAACACCAGGAGCAACATTAAAAAACATGTGGAGCATTAAGCTAAAATACTGTGTCAAGCTTTGGGCTTGTTTTAAATCTGCAAGAGTTACTGGATTTTCTTCTGTGTGTGGCACATTACAGGCCAGAATAATTGACCTAAGTGATCTTCGTCATACTACCAGCCAGAACAAGGAACAGAGCACTCAAGATGAGGTATTATGATAGAGCACCCGGTATCCTTACCCAACTGTTCCTTGATAATCCGTTGTGCTATTCTGTCAATAGTACCAAGCTTCAGAGAGAATGTGTCTAGATACTCCCCAATGGCTGCAAACTCCAGTGGCCGACTTCTTAATTTGTAGCCTCCTGTGACATATTTCACAGACTCCCCCATCTTTGACAGCAGTGCCATTCCTTGTTTTTTGTAGGCATTAAGATCCTACAAAGTTAAAAAAAAACAACAACAAGAGTTTAGAAATATTCCACTTAACTTGTTGAAAGATTAATACAGTGAAGGATACCTTCCAGTCAAGATAAAATCTTGTAAAGACGAGAGATCACACGTGAGATGTAGGCTTGGAGAAATCCTCACTTTGCACAAGTTCCACAGCTGAGCACAGTTGCAAGACTGCCTCTCAATGGAGATAAGCTATCCAGGAGAATGGTGTATGACTTACACTGTACATGAGTAGTCCACCTTTGTACATGGCCAGACTTGCCCCTGTCCCTGTGCTGTCACCAGGGAGGCAGTGATATTAACAGCTCTGTTTCAACCCATACTGGTCATGCCATTCATCCATCCATACTTTTAAGTCATAACCCACAATACCAGTATTAGGCAAGTACACCAGCTGGCTCTGATAACCTAGTGCAGAGCTACATACTGCACGCCTGTTTGGTCAGCAGCCTCCTCACACCACTGTGTGACCAGGTAGGAAGCAGGGAAAGACTGCACACACAAGCAGCACAGCATGGGGAGGCTCACACAGCATCTCTGCACAACAGACTGCAGCTCAGGCAGGGTCACGTGCAGTTGTGTTGCCTGCACAGAAAACTGAAACTGCCTTGCCAAAGCTTTACAGACTTGCATAAATCAACATGCAACCTATGCCAACAAGGTTGTTCACCTACAATCTTTGGGGGATTTCACCTTGACAGCACACCAGAAAAAAATGGTTTTAGTAGGCAAAAACTCCATTTTTCATTTAACTCCTTCCAGCAGAGGTCACTACTTAACACCTGATAACAGGCTTAAGAGCTATACATATGTCTTCACATGCGACCTGAGAAGAGATGCTGTCAAACCAGGCAGACCTGCAGAGGTCAAGAATCAAGACATGGTATTGCAGACTAGACCAAAATCTTAAGTGTTCTTTAAAAAAATACATTAGCCATCTTCAAAACTTGTGCTATGGCATTATTTTCAGATACTTAGACATAAGTCAAACTGATTAAGAGAACCTGATATCTTAGCAGCTATTATAATTTTAAATTATGTTTGCATTTAAATGCAGTAGCTCCTTGTATCTTGGTTTCTGTCCTAAGCACTACCTGCAACCAGGCATCAGAAAAAAAAAAAAGTCCTTTAAATCAAAATCAGTCACTCACTCTCTCAAGAATTCTGGTGCACTACTAGACCAAACAGGGACTTGCAGAAAGGTTTGTTTCTCCTTCAAACAGGAAGTGGTCACATGACTTTCTGCAGTAACTAAATTCTGAAGTCCTAGTATACTGAATTGACAATGCTCACTGCCCCATACACCAAGTTTCAACACCAGAGACAGCCAGAAAACTCACGTCCTTTTCCCTTAGCTTCCCAGGATCCTCTGTATTCTCAGGGCAAGCCCTTCTCTGGGCTGAGGATAAAGCCCTTACCATTCATTTTACAGGGGTGAGAGAAGACTAAGCTACTAGAAATTTGCACCATATTTTCACAGCTGAATAGAAGGAAAAAAGAAATCTGACGTTTAACTGACAAGGTGCTAAACAAATTTCTGGCTTTTCTTTCTGCATTTCTGGCTCATTTCACCAGCTAAGCTCACCATAGAGGGGAAATAAACGGGATCTGGAGATTGAGTCTCACATTACCAGAAAGCAGAGCATGAGTCTGAAGTGACCTCAAATTAAATGTCACATTTGAGTGAGCTAGCGTAACGTGACATCGGAAAGATGTGCTTTTACAGCTCTCCTCACTTATCAGGTCAAACCCAAGCATGACTGTAGGCCCTCCTAGTCTTATTTACACAGTAGTTCAAAAGACAGCCAAAGAAAATTGCACCTTTGCTGGATAAGTCACGCAGAAAATGAGCATGAAGTTGTTAAATGAGAACAAACATGAATGAGGTCTTCAAGCTTAGTACTGAGGGCAACAAGTGCAAGCAGTATGGAAGGCATAGACAAGAAAAAAGACAAGAAATCTGCAAGCTTTTGTGCAATAGAGATCTCTCCTCCCTCACCTCCCTCCTCCCCAAAAGAGGATTTCACAAAGTCTACAATATTTCTAAATTCTGAACGTCTCTTGCAGCAGAGGATTTTGTAAATCTGCAAACCACCACTCCCCTTCAAGCAAAAGGAACCCCTAAGGTGGCCACACATAGGGATCTGTCACACACAACAATTAGGGTCCCCAACAACACTCTGGAATTTTAGGGCACATCTGCTATTATTAATGCCTTTTACCTTCATTTAAAAGGAGACTGCAAAGGTCTGTTTGAAAGTTACTGGCTTACCTTGGCTGTGAGAAACATGTTGAAGTGCTCATTAAAAGAAAGCACTGGGTGATCAGTTATTCTCTTCAAGAATTTGTCTAATGCTTTCCTCCTTGTCTCCACAAACTCTTCAGAAAAGCGATCGACAACACCCTTCACCACAAATTTCTCAGGAAGAGGCTGTCAGAAACAAGCAAAATCCACAAAGATTCAAAAGACCAAAGACTTACTTCTGCTATTTGCAAACATAAAAAGCAATCAAACTCTTCTGTGAGGGCAGACAGTCTTAGTGACAGCACCATACTGAGCAAAGACCAACAAGAAGGCTTGATACAACAAATGGTCAAACAGTCCTGGCTATTTGACCTGGCTGGTCAAACAGGAAGGCTGGAGCCTTTCTGAAGCACTTGCACACTCAGTGATCTGTCATAGCTGACACTCCTGAGCATGTCTGTGTAAGTGACAAAGGTCTTCCACATATCTACTATTTCATCTTACTCCTCTTTTCACTCCACCAGGTCATCTCTGCAGTTCAGCTTAACATGTAAGCCCAAGTCTGCCTCCAGACTTGCTCATTCTGCCATCCCTCCTGCTACAGTGCACCTGAAACTGCGTTTAGTTTCCATTTCCCAGCCACTTCTAGGCAAGAAATACATAATGTATTCAGCAAATACATAATGCATTCAGCAATCTCCCTGCCATACCACTGCATAGAGGAGATGAATAGGAAGTTCCATAACCACTAAATTTGTGCATAGCCAGATAAGAGGGAAGTGCATCCAGATTTTCTGGAAGAGAGGCACTCAAGAGATTGCTTTGCTCTGCAGCTGGTTTCACGTCCAGCATTAAAGCCACTTTTGCCAAAATTGCCATTCTGTGTGCAACAAATTCCAGGTCACAGCAAAGCAGCTTGATTCCTTGGCTGTGACTCACCACCTGCTACTAGACTTATTTACTGCCTTGCAGCCTTCAGGCAGGACTAGCAGTCTGTTACTACACACAAAAATCACTAAAAGCTTAACCTCAATAGTTCCAGCTGTTCAGAGAACAGGGAGGAAGAAAAGAGAGTCTGAGCAGCAAACACATGAGCCTCATGTCTCCATCTTGCCTCAGCAAGATTACTCTTTCTTCTGTTCTCTCTACCCCTCAGTAAACACACTTGCTGCCAGTTTGCGGTGTCACATGATTTTGTGAAGTATTTATCTTTGAGAGACTGAGCTATTATTTCACTTAGAGGCAAGTTCCATAGAAATTAAGGATTTAAATAGCTCTCTACCTTGGAACAGCCTAACTGAATACTTCTCATATAGCTCGGTCCTTGCTGAGGGAAGAAGAGCAGAGAAACTTCCCCCATGCCAGATGGGCAAGCTAAGGTATTCCTGCAGCATTGCTGTTTCCCAACAATTCACCTCCTACAGGCCTTTTTCCATGTCTGTGTTCAAAAGAGCCGATTGCGGTGATCTCACAGGCTTCTCACATTTTTGCTTCTCCTGCAGCACGACAAACACACTGCTGAAGCTCAGTATCAACCTCTTCATATCCTATAAAGTGGTTAGACACCCAGCTTCAGTGACATGAAGGGGTGCAGCAGTTTCACTAATCTCATTAGCTGAACTTCTGCCTATTGAAGGCATGAAGGCTACGAAGCCAGAGGCTAAGATTTGTAAACTTGTGCTATTAAATGCTAGGACAAATAGTTTTAAAATACTCTCTCTAAAATAAGCTCAAAAGGCCATCTTGAAAACTGAGACTAAAACTTCAAGTACCTGTGAGGCTTTTTGTAAGCCTCAGATTCTTGGAAATCTAGATGTAATAATTGATCAAAGAGACTAAGTATTCCATTCATGCCATGACTAATGCAGTCACCATGCATACTGCCCTACATGAGGCTGCCAAAGCTCACCTCTCAGGCGTGTCACCCTAGAAACATCTAAGCTTCATCATCAGTCAAGAATGGGAAGTTCTTTCCCATTCCTCTAGAAGACAATGAAGTACAGCATATTTAAATGTAAATACTAGAAGAGAATGAAGTGCCATATTTAAATTTAAATAGACACATGACCAAAGTGGCACTTCTGGAAGATAGATTACAAAATAATCTTTAATAGCAGCTTCTTGCTTACTACCTACGGGAATGAGATGTGTTGGCTGAGACTCTTCCAGCTTGTTTCTCAACCAGTCAAAGTCTTGGTACCGCCGGCGGACAGAATACTCTGGCAAGTCAAATTCTGCTCTCGTGGTCTGAAAAAGAAGAACAAGATAAGCTTAACACGCACCAAAACCCCTCCCTTCAGAGCTTGGCAGCAAATGTAGCACAAGCCATCACTGTCACAGATGAGGCCAGACAAGCCTTGCACAGGGACTCCGACCCCCAAATTGTGTTTGCAGCCAGCACAAGGGAAAGATCCTCTGACCTTCAGAGCAGCTGGAAAAGCCAACAATAAGTCAAATTATTACTTGGAGCTGATGTGTTCTTCAGAGCTACTCATACTTCATAATATGTTCTGGTCAGATAAAACTTTTTGGGAGGAATCTGGGGAAAGGACTGTGCACCATGTTAACCTCTTGGCAGTTAGAAGTTTGCAGGGAAGATTGTATGAAATCTTCATTCCAAGGACAAGATTATTTTAGCCATCAAGACTTAAAATCAAAGATATTTAATTACTTGTTTATTCTATGAGGTGCATTAACCGTGGGTGAAGAAATGTTTCACCACTGTCCCATATTCCAGCAGGGACAGGCTTTTTACACTCCTTCAAGGCTAAAAGATTAGAACAGAAGCCATTGCTAGGTTTGCCAAGGGACTTTTTAGTTGATTTCTGAGAGGAAGAAATGACTTTGTTTACATTAAGTTCATGTACACCCTATTAGCAGTATCAGTACGTTTAAGTTAAAATCTCCAAAGTTTTCATTCCTCAGGGCAAGGACTTAAACTTGCCATTAAAACTCCAGACTGAAGCTAAATGCAGAGAAACTGCTGGTAAATGTTTTGTCCAGTCCTCAACTAGTCCATTGCCTGGAAAGCTGACTGCATGGGCTGTCTGAACAGCACATATTGCAACTGCCTAAAAACCCTAATGAAAGTGTGCACCAACCAGGACCTTCTGCTAAAGAGCCTGGTGTTGCCACAGCCCTTACTGGAAGGTAGATGGCCCTTATCATGATGTCCCACTGAGAAGCACAGCTCATGGAAAAGCCCAGTGAGCTTTTAGTACCTGCAGCATCAAGACATCCTGCAATGAAAGTGCCAGCACACTGCATGTCCCCAGCTAGACAACAAAGCCACTGCATCCTGGGGAACAAACCAGCTCTTCTGGCTTTGAGCTGGCACTGTGTCCAGCACTAGGCTGCTTTGCTACTCCCAGCCACTAAAACTCTCAGCCTGCTAGAGTCGAGCAGAGATTCTTTATTTACCTCCAGACTGAGAGCAACTGCCACATATTCGGAGAGAGTCAAGCAGCAGCCTTTAAACACAACCCACCTCTTTGCTTGCTCTCTGGATGGCTCTAACTCTTCAGTTACTGCACATTAGTCCCACCAATCCCCACTAGGGATCCTATACAAGATCTATGCCAGAAATCTCTTTCTAGGGGGGAAGCCAGCAGCCTGAACATCTTAAGAGCTTACCTCCTTCCTCCTTTGACCTGTTAGCTATGGTAAAATATACACGTTAGTCCAATGCTCATCAATGGAGAAGCTGTGTTTGTAGATGGGGGACTACCCAGACCTAGACATCTACTGCAGATTTATGCTTCACGCAGCTACACCTCAGAGTAATATCACATTACTTAACATGTTAGAGTGCCACAGTATAAATGAAACTTCTGAGACTCCATATGAACTATTTTCATCTGTTCTGAGTAAGAGACTGAATGGTATTATTCTAGAACAGGGTAATTCACACACATGCAGACAGTCCTCATCAGTCATTGGTGCTGACTACTTTGTTCTTTTAATAGGGCAGCAACACCTCAGCCTTGCAAAAGACAACCTGAAATTTCAAACATGGAAAGAAAAAGAAAAATAAAAGTAATTATTTAGAATTAAAGAGAGTTTTCATGAACTGGCTGTCTTTAGGTAAAGGCCTCTTAAGAGAGATCAGACAGTAAGTGAAAGAGAGTAATTAGGATGTGTAGACACTACATAGTCTTATGCTCTAGAATGAAGAGGAAAGGGAAGTCTCCCATCTCTCAGCACCAACAACCTACCTAACCAACAGTCTGCTAACAGTAAAGCGAAGCTATATAGGTACTATTTAGTCTAGAAGTAGAAAAGCAGGGTAAGTCCTAGTGCACAAACTTTACATTAGTTATCATTCCTTTCTAGCAAACTGTTCCTGCTGCCTTAACACAGATTTGCAAAACTTTATACACATCAAGTTTAGTTCCACAGAGGCAGGCAGGTGTAAATATGCAACAGTCGCCAGCATTCCAGTGCTTGCTGTATGGGATGTCACATCTAGACTGCAAATCAGCTCTCCAGAGACTAACTGGACAGAACATAAGGGCCCTTCAAGGTTTTAATGACATCTCACTAACACTGGAAGAATTTGTATCTCCAATCAAACTATTCATTCACAACGTGTTTTTTTCCAGACAGCACACGAAAAGTAAGAGGGTCTTGCCACAGTCCTGAGACAGCAAGTGAAAAGTCTGTGATTTTGATACTGTTGAATTCCTTCTACTTTCTCAGCAGGATCCATAAATTTCACCTTTCAAGGACATGTCTCTCTCCCAAAGGAAGCTAAGAAACTTATGTGGCAGATCTCCACATTTCAAAAACAGTAAACAAGACATTTCCAGGGAATTAACTGAAGACTCCAGCACAGTTCCATAAGTCTGCAGTATTCTGGGCTCAGTTTCACTTGCTGGAAATCAGGCAGACTTACAGACACCTTTACCTCTGTTTTTGGAATAGCTTTGTCTTGAGGCAATATTAAAGCAATCATCAAGTCTTGCTCTTGCATAAGATTCTTGTCTTTCTTTAAAGGAATTAGCAGACAAACCTAAAGTTAGCCTGTGATGACTATGTGAAAGGATTTTTGTACCCTAATTCCAATCTCTACTCCTGATTGCAGATTCCCCTCCATGTTACAATTTAAGTTTGGGGCAAAATCTTCAACTACAAAAAGAGAAGAATGGCAGAGGGGAACAGCACAAGGCTCGTGTTCTTAGCAGTTCATAGAAGCACATCTACTTACGTTTCCCTTGGGAGAGACGACTACATAATAGTAAGCTTTATTTTTCCCCACCCTCAGAAAGATCTGGTTGTTAAAGTCCCTCTCAAGTGCACATCAGTCTCTTTCAAGAGCACAAAGGTCCATCATCAAGAACATCCAAGACACTTCAATAATCACAGTCAAGAACAATTTTATTCCAGGACAAGTTTCACCCACCTTTTTGATCTCACTAGCCTCCACATATGAGAAAACTGCAGTTAGCAGGAAAAAAACAGGGTATGAAAGAGTGAAGAGAGACAGGTCTGAAACACCATCCTCATAATTTCAGGGATTCCCACTGCATTCTCTAAAACTTCAGACAAGCTGGGAAGTGCTACCTGGCTCTTACTAGGAACCTGTGAAAGAAGGGGCACAAGCAGAACTAAGCAAGCTCTGGTCTTCTCAGCTTCCCTGCAAGCCATTGTTTTGGACCAGATGTTTTGGACCCTTCCTCAGCCACTAACACCTAACAAAGGTATCAACAGATGAGAGGTCTGGAACATATGGCAAAAAGGACCTTTCTAAAGAAAGAAAACCACAAAACATGAAAACCAGACTGTGGTCAGGTCACGCTTTTCCCT